CCCGTCCGGGCACCAATTCGACTACCGACTGTCGGTCCCCTTGGCTGCGGCCACCCTGGTACTTTCGCAGTTGTCCGGGGTCTCGCGCCCTTGCATTAATTACTCGGCTTCTGTCGCTGGTCGCCGCTTCTCCCGGCTACCTGACGCTTCCGACGCCTTGCATATTTGCACGATGGCAGTACGACTCAGTTTCAGCCAGCCCCTTCCACTCGCCGGTGCGCCGCTGAGGTGCTGCGTGAGGCTCCGCCTAGCCGCTTCAGGTGAGGCTGCGCCCCGCTGCTTTAGGTGAATTTGTCGCTGCGTGCCCCGCTTTGACTGGACTCGCCGCTGGCGCGCTCGCCTGCGGCCGCTGACAAAAAAGTATCCCACACCAGCTCGCAGCCCCCCCCGGCTCCTCTTGCTGCTCTGGCCCTGAGGTTTCCTGAGGCTTCGGCGGTAGGTCCTGCTCTGCTCCGCGCTAGGTAATTAGGCCCCCGCGCGGCCCGCCCAGACCTTACTCGCCGTTGGCGCGCTCGCCTTCGGTTGCTAACAAGAAGTATCCCACACCAGCCCATCCAGACTCGATGCCCAACCGACTTGCGGCGATTAGGGAAGTGCAGGAGCGTGCAGTGGGAGGCAGCCGTCAAACCGAATACGGGGATCAGCCTGTCGCGGATATTTGAAGAAGCGTGTTCTACCACTGCTGGCGAGAAACGGGGGGGGGGTCACTGGGGGGTCCCAACCCGTCCCGCCCCCGTGTAAAAACCGAGGGGGGGGGGGGGGGTCGACCCCCCCCCTCCCCCCACCTCCCACTCCATCATGAAAAAGGTGGGCGGTGTCACTACTGGTTCGACCCCCCCCCTCCCCCCTCCTCGCCGCCAGCAAACGATCCCCCTCCTCGGGACAATGGGACTGTGGTGGGGACAGTGGGACAGTATTGGGGACGGTGGTGGTGGGGACAGTGGTGTGGGGACAGTGGGACAGTGGTGGGGACAGTTGGGACCGTGGGACAGTGGTGGGGACAGTGGCGAGGGGACAGTGGGACAGTGGTGGGGGCAGTTGGGACCGTGGGCAGTGGTGGGGACACTGGCGAAAGCACAGTGGGACAGTGGTGGGGACAGCGGGGACGGTAGTGGTGGGGACAGTGGTGAGGGCGGTGGTGAGGACAATGGTGGGACAATGGGACAGTGGTACATTGGGGAGAGTGGGGGGGACTTGGACGGTGGGGACAATGGTGGGGACAGTGGGAACAGTGGGACAGCACATTGGGACAGCGGTGGGGGCAGTGGGGGCAGTGGGACAGTGGTGGGGACAGTGGGACAGCGGTGGGGACAGCGGGGACAATGGGAGAATCGAACCGTGGTAAGGGACAGTGGTGGGGACAGTGGGGAGCGTGGGACGGTGGTGGGGACAGTGGGACAGCGGTGGGGACTGTGGTGTGGGGGCGGTGGGACAGTGGTGGGGGACAGTGCCGAGGGCGGTGGTGAGGACGGTGGTGGGACAATGGGACACTGGTACAGTGGGGACAGGGGTGGGGACAGTGGGGACAATGGTGGGAACAGTGGGACAGCCCAGTGGGACAGAGGCGGGGACAGTAGGGACAGCGGGACAGTGATGGGGACAGCGGGGACAGTGGGACAGTGGTGGGGACAGTGGGGCGAGTGGGACCATGGTGGGAACAGTGGTGGGGACAGTGGGGGCAGTGCGACAGTGGTGGGGGCACTGGTGGGGACAGTGGGGACAGTGGTGGGAACAGTGGGGACTGTGGGCCAGTGGTGGTGGGGACGATGGTGCTGGGGACAGCGGTGAGGGCGGTGGGGAGGACGGTGGTGGGCACCCGTGAGTCGTTTGCCGGCGGTGAGTGTGGGGGGGATGGGGGTCGAGCCGGTAGTGGCCCCCCCCTTTTTTTTGGAGGGGTGGGGAGGGGGGTGCGAACCGGTAGTGACCCCCCCTCTGGTTTTCTGGAGGGGGGGGGAGGGGTTATGTGGGAAGGGGGTTTTGCCGGGGGAAGGGAGGGGGGGGGGTCTGAGCAAGGGGGTGATTTTCGGAGGGGGGTGGGGGGGACTTCTGGGTTCCGGAGGAAGAGGGGGGGCGGGAATTTTCCACAGTAGTGCGGCTGTGGGTCCTGAACTCTCGGAAATTTGGATGTGAGTGCCTGTTGGCAGCTCACTTGGGCTCGTTTGGGCCGTTTGTCAATTGTGGCTGTCGGGGTCCTCCCGGGGCTCCCTGGGGGTCATCTATCTCCTTCGGGTCATTTCTTGGAGGCCATCGATCGAATAAGAGGGGTAGCTCTTTGCGCCCCCCCTCGTAGTCCGCAAAGTCGCCTCTAGGGGCCCTTTTGGGTTGCTGTTGGGCGCTATTTGGCGCTCTCCAGGCCGTCATGGGAATATTTCGGCCTCCCTTGGGGCTCACTTGGGTAATTTTGGATCCATCTTGAGGCTGCAGGGACCCGTCGGAAGCGAAATAGCGAGAAGACAAACAACATTGACCGCTATCACGTCTTGGGAGGATTTGGGGATCGCGAGGGGGTCCTTGAGGGGCTCTATGGCCACTTGGGTCTTGGGACGGTCATGGTGCATCTTGGAGGCATGTTGGACTTCTCGCGACCAACCCCTTACAACACCTACGCCCAGAGGGCAGGTGGAAATACATGAACCCATCAATGGCCTTGTGCCGTTCCACTGCGTGCCAGGGGGCATAGTGCTGGACATCCGCAGTTTGAGAATCCAGCATTTCACATATTCCAGAAGTTGTCAAAGCAGTTCGGCTGCGCCCTTGCCAGAAGCCTTCTTCCCCCTCCCCCATTTTTGAATTTTGTCGAAAATCGCAATGCAGTAACGTTTCCTTCCCACTTTTTTAAAAAGGCGGGCACCAAACACTATGATTCCGATATTCTGGAGCGCTCCAGAAAGGGCCTCGCCTCCGAGGGGTCGAATAATTGGCATGTCTTCCCTGGCAGAGACCAGCTGAAGCAAAATGGAGTCGGTTCCGCCGGCAGACGCCGGCAGAATTTACAATACAGTTGCCAAGAGATGTCAGTTCTGGTGAAGGGTTCACGGCCTCCGCCAAATGTTTTTGAATGGGGGGCATTTGTGGTTCGTGCAGTGTTTGGTTCTCTGGTCAGTTACATTGGCTCATTGCGCGTCCTGGGCCCTTGGGCCGCTTTTCTTTGGTCGCCCGACGGCCCCGCCGATGCTGGTCCGAAGATGGCCCGGACGCTTCACGAGAGCCCAGCACAGCGCAAGATTGTCCCAAGAGGCCACGATTGGGGGTTCTAAGAGATCACCCCACGCCCAACATCATTCCCACGCGTAACCAACTTCAGTCCCAACCTTGAACGATGCGGAAATGTTTGTCTCTAGTTTCAGAGTTTCTGGGGCCCAGCTTCAAATGAGCCTAGAAGCCCCAATATGGTCCAATTTTACTTCCGATTATCCCGCAAGAGTCCCAAGATGCTCGAGGTTGCGCACGTTGGAATCCCTTTTCGGGATTCGCTCAGTCTGGCTCCCACCCCGTCCATCCTCATTACTCCCACCTCCTCTCGCCTTCCTGCTTTCGCTTCTTTTTGCTTCAGGAAGGCCCCATACAGAAGTTCCAGATGGCCGACACCAGTTAAAGCCCTGCCGATCAGAGTCTGAAGGGGTACCAAGAGACACACAAGAGGGCTCCTACAGGCTCCAGTACAGGCCTCATATTGTTTAAATTCTAAACGCTTCGCGTATCCCCACCAGCCCGTCCAGAAATGAGCCCCAGGGGAGTGGAGGTGATAAGGGATGAGGGAAGCGGGGGAGCATGCAGAATAACAAAGGGCGGGGTAAGCCGCCATATACCCCAACAGGGGGAGGATGTAGGATGAGTCGTCGTCGTCGGAGTAAGAGGTGGAAGAGGAGGAGCAGGAGGAGGAGGAGGAGCAGGAGGAGGAGGGGGAGGAGCGGGAGGAGGAAGATGAGGAGGAGGAGATAGAGGAGGGTGAGAACGTGGAGGACGAGAAGGAGGAGAAGGAGGAGGAGGAGGAGGCGGAGGAGGAGGGAGGGGGAGGAGGAGAGGAGGAAGAAAAAGAGGAGGAGGAGGAGGACAATGGCGAGCTTGGGGGCCTCTTGGGCCGTCTTTGGGGCCTCTTGGCGGTCCTGGGGGCCTCTTGCGTATCTCGGGGAGCCTCTTGGGGCCTCTTGGGGGTCTCGTGGGAGCCTCTTGGAGGCCTCTTGGAGGCCTCTTGGGCGCCTCTTGGGGCCTCTTGGTGCCCTCTTGGGGCGCTCTTGGGGCGCTCTTAGGAGCCTTCGGGCCGCTCTTGGAGCCATGTTGGAGGAGATCTAACAAAGAAGGGGGGGTGGGAATTAGCGTTGCCACTTTAGAGTGCCTCTTGGGTCCCAAAAGAGGCCACAGTCCTTCCAAAACCTCGGGAAATCAATGTTGTTTTGCTTTCCCGCCTTTTCGCTCTTGGAGCCGTCTTGGGCCATCTTGGACGCGCCAACGACCCGCGGAACCCCCCGTCCAGGTCAAGGGGAGGGGGTGGGGGGACCCCTCCCCGAAGGGGAAGAAGGGGGTTGGAAGAGGAAACTCTCTAGACCACGGACGCCCAGAGGGCTGGTGGGATTTATCGCGAACGACTAACTTTGAATGTTCTTGGTCTGAACGGATCTCCCACTGGGGATGCCCCAAGAGGCCTTCAGGAAGATTCCGAGGCCCAAGAACCGCCCAAGAGGTTACCAGAAAGGCTCCAGGGGGCCCGAAAGGCTGGAATGCAACACTTTGCCCCCAAAGACAGCCCTCGCGGCATGAACAACCGCGTGCATAGTTGATGAATGGACGTGTTCTTCTGCTCGATTACGGCAGGTCCGCGTCGTGTCGACGCGTCGGAGACCTTGCCGTGGCAGCTCAAAGTGGTCCATTGAGGGTTTGGCTCCCTGGGCCTACTGAGGGTTTGGTTCCCTGGGCTTACTGAGGGAACCATGGCAGCATGGCTGAATGCAGCGTCGATGGCGGCAAGCGCATGGGATGCTGCGTCGGCTGATGCCTCTCAGGCGACCAGGGCTTGGCTGGCGTCGTCTGCAGGGTGCCGTGGACCAATGGCACATGCCGTCGCCGAGTGTGGCGGGTTCCCGCTGCCAGTGGCGCAGTACACCCCTGGGTTTGAGCCGATCGCCCTTGCCTGGGGGTGGGGCCTGCTCGGCGTCCTGTGCGGGGTGCTGGTCGGCTTGTACTTCGAACCGCTCGCGCACCGCGCCGCTTCGCTGGTTGCTGGGCGGGGGCGTCCGGCTCAGGCGGTGACCGGGCCGCCTGGGCTGACTGCCATGCCGCCGTGGCGTCCGACGGTCCGCGGCGAGCTTGCAGCTGCGACCGGACCGCGGCGCGTGATCCTCCAACGGCTCAGCGACGACGGGGGGGCCGCCTTGGACCTCCTCGCTGCCGCAGGAGGCGTTGCGCGGCGGGACGCCCTCGCGCGCGTCCTGGGCGAGGCCGTGGTTCGGGCCAGCACAGGGGCCTGGGGCGTGTGACGCCTTCCCGGGTTCTGCGCCGCGACCCTTTCGCGGGCGTCAGGGTTGGCGAGGCCCCGCATCCGAGGCCAGTGGGGGATCACGAGTTCTTGCGGGACATGGTGGATTTGGGCTTTACCCCGCGGCCCGTAGGAGAGGTCGTGGCGGCGTTGGGCTTCGCCGAACAGTCCGAGGGAGTCGTTGTGGGCTTCGCCGCGCCGACTGGAGGGCAGAGCCGCCCTCCCAGCCCAGGACCTGGAGAAGGGCCGCCAGCTGCCGCTACGCTGCCAGCCGCCGTGGGCCAGGGCGTGGAAGGCCCGTTTGCCGCTGGCCTTCTGGACGGGCCGCCAGCCGCCGCGCGGCCGCTAGCTGCCTCGGGCCCCGTCGCAGGGGGCCACGCCGCTGCTGGTGGCCCGGAGGAGCCGCGGACCCCGGATCGGGGCCCTCCGCGTTGGCGAGACCGAGGCGCGCCTCTGGGCGGCGAGCGGCCGGCGATGGCCGTGCGCCCCAGCGACGGGTTCCCTAACATGGACCCGCTGCGGCCCGTGGTGGAGGTGCCCCCGCTCCCGCTGGGGTCTGCCGACGACGCTGCTGGGCCTGGCCCTTCGCCCTCCGGGGATGCTTGGGCGCCAGTGTGGCCTGGGCCTGCAGAGGCGCCTGCCGACGTGGAGCCGCCACCTCCTGTCGCAGCTGGCGACGCAGACGTTCGACGTGGTGAGGACCAATGTCGGGGAGGCCGAGTTCGACAAGCTGATCGAGCCGATCGCGTCGCTCGTGAAGCCGCGGGCGGAGAAGGTCAACGCGGAGGTGGACGCCTTGAACCAGATGCACGCCCTGCTCCTGATGAAGGCCCAGGGTGGCGCTAAGTAGGCGGTGAAGGCACAGCGTCTTCTCGCTTGCGCTGTCGGCCGCTCGAGGCGCTCGAGCGAGCGGTCGGCATATTTCAGGGGTCGGTTGCTCGAGCGAGCAGTCGGTTCGGCCGCCGCCGAGCGCCGCGTGGATGATGGGGGGGGAAATGGGAGGCGAGGAGGACGAGGAGAGGGAGGATGAGGAGGAGAATGGAGAAGGGAGAGGGGGGGGGGGGGGAGATGGGGGAGGGGGGGGAGATGGGGGGGGGGGGGGGGGAGATGGGGGGGGGGTGGGTGCGACCAGAAGACGGCGGCGGGCCCGCGATTCGGGGTCGACTTGACAGCTGCTGCGGTGAGACAGCAGGTGCTATGGGGCAGATATTTTGATCGGATGCGAAAGCTTCGGGCCCGAACCCGATCGGATGCGAAAATGTCGGGCCCGACCCGGGACTTTCTGGCCCGAACCCGGCGAAACCACCGATGAGTGTCCGATGAGTTTCCGGTGAATGTCCGATGAGTTCTGATGAGTTTCGTTGCATCATATTAAATCAGACCAAACAGTTCCCGATGAGTTTCCGATGAGTTCCCGATGAGTTTTGATGAGTTTTGAAAATGTAGAAGTATGTGTGTTGCGCCGCTCCGATCGCGGTCAGGCCCGAGTTTTCGGTTTCGGCTGCGCCCGTTTCGGTTTCGGGGGCGCGTCGGGTGGGTCCGGCGCGGGCCCGAGGGGTCGCTGCGGCACCTCGGCGAGGCGCAGCTGTTCGTGGAGCGCCCGTTTCGGTTTCCAGGGCGTCTTGGATGGCGTTGGCGCGGGCCCGGCGGCGCGTCGTCGCAGCGCCGGGGGGGCGGGGCGCAGGGGCCCGCAGGGTTCGGCTCGAGGGCGGGCCCCCCGTTCCCGGGGTACACGCGCCAGGCGTCGTAGCATCATGGATGGATGGGGAATCGCGGGGTGAAGAAGGGCAGTCCGAGCGATGGGGAGCAGCTGAGCGCAAGCAAGCAGGCAATGGTCTGTTCAATTATATTGTTGCAGCGCATGTTGGATCGAAGCCAATGACAGCAAAAGACGCTTGCATCGTAAGCTGGCTCGCTAAGGAAGCCGGGTGCGAGGGTGGCGTGCGCGACCTCGCACTGCGCCCCCAAAAAACACAGGCGGGCAGTGCCGGCGAAAAATAGACGCAGCAACTCCCCGAAAACAAGATAGCGATTCCTACTGGTTGGGCCTTCCAATATATCAGAATGGAGTTGGTCGGGCAACCAAGATGATTCCCATGCTGCCGTTGCGTGAGTCGTTGCAGCACGAGTGTGAAAATACTCCGTCTCTGGCCCCTGAGTGCGCGGCATATGAAACGGTGTTCCAGGAGTGGCAACATATATACCAGTGGCACCCTGGCGTTCGCGCGCGCAGGCCAGGCGCGCCGCTTTCGTTATCGCGCGCCGATGATATTCGATTCATCAGGAGCGAGCGAACTGGAAAAGCCGACTCGTTGCTAGGATTCTGTATGCATTTATTACCGCAGTCGCGGAGCTATTCGGTCGCATTCTTGAGGAAGACTGAATTCTGTAGATGCGGGTGCCGAGGCTGGTGTAGCCATTACCCTATCATGCTCGTGATAGCATGGTCAATGCGGGCGTTGGTTGAAGGCCGATATCCCTCGACCGTGCACGACGGCTCACCGCGGGCGACGGGGGGTCCCAGGGGGGATTTGGCGGGCGCACTTCTTGGGAAAGGCGTGGTGGTGTGGATGAAAGGCGATTTAATTGAGCAGGCTGTCGCGTTCGGTTTGCGGTGTTTGGGCAGCATGCTATACCCGTGCTTCATGTGCAACTCACTGCTCGAACATTTACACGAGTATGCTCCGTTTGAGCTGGGCAGTGACCACTGGGGCCAGAAACCGGTTTTCGACGATTACGAGGCGTCGTGTCAGCGGGTCGACCACGTCGTTGTGCTTCGCGCCGAAGCCGATCGACGCAAGGCGACACCGACGCGCAAGCGCGGCAACGCACGGCGGCCCCCGAGAGCGCACGGTCGCGCCACGGAGCGTGTGTGGCGGAGAGGGTTGTGACGGGATGGCGCGCGGCAGCGTTCTCGGGGGCTGCCATCCGCGGTCGCGCAGGCGCGTCGGTTTCCGACGAGTTTTTTTTTTTTTTTGAGGGCGGGCTGTGCTGGGATCGGCGGAAATCTGGAGTCCGTTGGAGGTCGCTCTTGAACGATGTGCCGTCTCTAGGTCTCAAAGCTGGTGATCGATTGATGCCGTCCCCGCATTTGTGCGATGTCGGCGATTTCTCTGCTGCCCCGCTGCCCCTTGTCGTGAGGCTTTGGCGCGCGACCTATCGCGGTCAGACGCGCACGGGCCCGCTACTCAATCGCAGCCCAGTTTTTCCGCTAGCCCTCGCGATCGCGTTAGACATGCTCCGCATTCTGTACCCGGGGGTTCATGGCCGCTGTATTTCCGCACTGCCCTGTGCAGTTCTGGATGCAAATGTTTTCGGGATCCCAGGGCCTCACCAAGACGTCGTTGTCCCAGCCGCTCTGGAGAGGCTCTCGGGCGTGCTGGACGATTGGTATGACTACACGGGTGTGCCGCATAACTACAGAGTGCATGAGATATCGTTGCATATGATCGGTTCGAGGGAGTACCCAGTGCTCAGAACAATGAGATCAGAAACCAACGCGATCCTCCCATGGGCTTTCCGTGTGTGCGAGATGTTTTATGACCGCATGGAGAATGGGTTTGCGCTCGCTGAGGCACGCAGAAACCTGCTGGCGTTCATGCGACTCCTGAAGGCAGCACCCACCAACATCGATAGGGAGACGGCGTCCATGCTGCTGGACACGCGCAAGCAACACAACCATTACATGACAAAGGCAGACGCCCCCCAACTGTTCAATAACATGTTTTTGTACACTTCGTGCGCCGTTCCTCGAGGCGCGGCAACCCGCTGCGGTGCGCCGCGTTTCTGGATGAATCATTGAATCTGCCAGAAGCAGTGGCGGCCTCGAGCGCGCGCCGATCACATTTGGAGAAACGGCGCTTTTAGCGCGTGTCTTTGCAGTTTTTTTTTTGTTTTGGTGTATGTGTGTTTTGTTTCTTTTTTTTGTTTGTGTTTGCATGTTTGCATTTTTTTGTTTGTTTTTCATGTTTTTTGTTCTTGCGTCGTTCCGCCCTCCCCCCCGGCGGCGGAGCGCAGCCCGACCCTCGCCATCGCGCGGGGCGCGCTCGGCGCCGATGTTGTAGAGATGGTGCAATTGCGTCTCGTAGAGACGAGCGAGGGGGGGCGGGGGACACGACCACGATTCACCCACAATGATATCATTCCCCCCTTCCGCTCGGGGCGATTCAAGATGCCCTCGCGCGCAGGCCCCGCCGGCCCCCGGCTAGCGCGGGCGCGCGCGGCGGGCCGATCGAACGCGTGCAAAACCGCGTGCCAGAGCGGCTGGTTTTCAAACTGGTGTTCTCGCCTTGGCGCCGCCTGCGTTGGCGCGTTTTGGAAAATGTCGATTTCGAAAGATATGATGGCGCAGTGGCCGAACAACTAAACATCTGTTAGATAGTTTACATGTCCGCGCGCACACTTCCCAATCAATGCCAGGCCCATGGGGCGCCCGCCGCGCCAGGGGCGGGTGCCCTGGCCGACAGGAGGCGCGAAGATAACGCTGTGCATTCGCGCCGTGCTGGCTGCCGTGCGTTTTTCAGGTGAGCTCCCGATGAGTTGCCGATGAGTTGCCGTTGGGTTTTGATGAGTTTCGGATCGTTGGCGGAGACAATCGCGCTGCGCGGGCGCAGCGACGTCGACGGGCGTCGAGGCGGGCGCTCGGGCACTCCAGCCCAGACCCGCTCGTTGACATGGCTTCCCGTACCATTCGTCGAGCTTCCCAGGTGGCCTGGGCCGGCGATGCCCGTGGTGGCTCAAGCGTGCTTGCATCGGCGGGCAGAGCGTTGGCCACGCGCTGGCGCCGCGCCTGGGCCACCTTTCTCCATCGGCCATGAAGCGTCCCGCCGCTGCAGTGCCATCGCCCATGAAGCGGCCCGCTAGAGCTGGCGCTTGGTCCACCGCGAATGGCGCCCCATGTCCGTTCGAGGCGATGGCGGCGCAGGCTGGTTTCTCTGACGGCGCATCGCAGGGCGAGATCACCAGGGTTGCCCAGGCGCTGACACAGGAGTTCTGGTCGATCCCTCGCAGTTTGGACGCGGTGGAGACGGTCGGCGGAAGCGGCGGGTTCTCGTTCTGGCTGGAACGGTCTGGCCTTCAGGGCACAGGGTTCGACAAGTCCGGGAGGGGCGAGTCGGGGGGCGTCTGCGCCCTCGCGGGCCTGGCCTAAGCGTGTCGGATCGCGCTGGCCATCGAGCCGAAGGGGGCGCTTCTGGTTGCCCCTCCTTCCCGTGAGTGGGCAAGCGGCATGGTGCGCGTCAGCGGGAGGGGCGACTTCGACAATTGGAAGCGTTCGGGCGATGGTATGGAGGCGAACGACGCGGCGCTCGCAGTCGCGCGCTTCATCTCAGTGTGCGTCGCGAGGGGTGCATTCTTCATGGTCGTGATGCCAGTCGACTGCCATTCGTTCTTCCAGCGCGCGGCGGTTGCCAGCTCCCTGCGTCTGGGCCGCGCCGCCATCGCCGTGACCTACCAGGGGAATTGGGAGCGGGCCAACACGAACAAGAAAACGATCATGATGACGAACATCCCCGAGGACAAAGTGGCACGGCTTGTGTGCGACTGCCCTCTTCCAGACTCCACCCTCGTCGACGAGGCCAGTTCGTGCTCGAGGGGCGTCGTCAAGTGGGGCAACGGCGCCTGCGAGCTCAACCCACGGACGTCCTTCTACAACGAGTTCGCGAAGGAGCTCAGCGGTGGTCGCAGCAGCAGCCCCTTTGCCATCTCCCGTTTTCGACGTTGCTATGGGCGCCGGCTCCGATTCGGAGTGATGCGCGCGCTCGAGAGCGCGCGCTGCGCCATCCGTCGCCGCTGTGGCCGCGCGCTGCAGGCAGCGTGCTCTCCGCGCCG